GAGGCTGGCACGGCCCCGCGGCGGCCTTCGCCCGGAGCTGCCGTGAGAGGGGCCTCCATTTTCCGCGCTCGGGGTGGGCCCTCCACAGGCAGCGCGGGCTCCCGCAGCCGGCGGCGTCCTCCGTGAGGGGGGAAACCCACCAGAAACTAGGCTTCTTGTCTGTGAAGAACCCGTTCCTGGGTCGTTTTTCACTCCCTCCCGAAGTTTAGCGTTAGGCTGTTGAGAACAGCCACGTAACTCCCCTTAAGGTTGCTGTCACGGTAAGAGCCTTTCGCTCCTCACAACGTTTCTGTGAGCAAAGTGGTTGTGTGACTGTCCGCAGCAAATAACGGCAACCTGCTCACTTCGGGCAACTGCAGCCCGGGCTACCCGCCAGGGCTGTGGAGGCAATGCAAAAAATTGCATTACAGGTAGAGAGACGCTACTAGGAGAGATCTAATTTGCTTTCTTTTCACGTTATTTGGGAAAATACAGTTACGCCCAGTAGGAAATTTGGGGCAGGCGTTGCACCTTTACTAGGAACTGCCAGTGAAGCCTCAGCAAGTGGAAGCTTACCTGGAGCACAGGGGCTCCTCAGGGCACTTGAGTGCCTGGCTGCCTTCACCATCCTTTGCACTCAGGCAGCCATGGGGGCTGGCAGACTGACCACCCTTTGCACTCAGGCAGCCATGGGGGCTGGCAGACTGCCATTTGCCTTCCTAAAGTAACCAGTAGCAAGTGTGCAAAAATTCATTGGAGAGGTGCGTTAAGTACACAGTGTGTTTGTTCCAATGTTTAGTTTTAACCAGCCCGTACCCGACTTGAGTGCCTGGCTGCCTTCACCATCCTTTGCACTCAGGCAGCCATGGGGGCTGGCAGACTGCCATTTGCCTTCCTAAAGTAACCAGTAGCAAGTGTGCAAAAATTCATTGGAGAGGTGCGTTAAGTACACAGTGTGTTTGTTCCAATGTTTAGTTTTAACCAGCCCGTACCCGGTCAACTGAATTTGTTTCTGAAGTCTTATCTGATTCTTCTGTTTTACAGTTTTAAGCTCAGACGGCTAATTAACATGTGAAACGTACACAGTGACCGTCCTGTTTCTGTAGGTTTAATTAGCCGGATTAGGATCTTTCAGGCTTCTGGCAGAGTAATCTTACACACCTGGTTGAATTGTTGGCTCGGACTATAACGAACAGTTTCTTAGTCCTTTTGAACAGAAAAGAGCTTTGCAAGTTGAATTGTTCCGCTTCTTAGTCCCCGAAGTCATGCTGCATCTGGATTGTTACGATGTGTTGTGCTGCTGTTACTTTAGAAATACTGAGCAGCTATTCATCTTGTTCTTTATTTTAAAGTATCACAAGAGGGCGCTCACCTAAAGCTAAAAGTGCACGATTGTGCATGTATTCCCTTTTTTTTCTCCTATTTTTCCCACTCCAGTGTTTCGACGTAGTGCTCAGATACGTATGATAAACAGATGACGAAGTATGCTCTATGGATTAGAAGGATAGAGACAAAAGTGTTAGCATGAGGAAAATGATCCAATTTATTTGCATGATTTGTTAGTAATTTTAATCCAGGTGGCTAATTGAGAGTATTAGCTACTCAGAATTAAAATTAATAGTTTGTTAATAACTATGATGGTGATGTGTATTTTGTTTAATTATGAGCTGTCATAGCATTTGAACTCTGCACTACTTAAGACTGAGGCAACGTAAAGACTTCGTTAGACCAAGACCTGTGAGCAAGTTACAGAATTCTCATTGCAGTAGAAGATGAAAACTAATGGTTAACCACATTTAGACATACACTAGCATGTGTAGATGAATCCCTAAACCACAAGAAATAACCAATGAGTTATTTCTTGTTTAGTTTATTCAAAAGAGAGAACTTTCAAACTTTGTAGAACCCCATGGTTGGACTGTTTGACAGAACGTTATTGGAACAGCCACAACTCACTTGTAACTAACGTAGCTAAAGGGAGACGCAGTCTTCCTTAATGGTCTGCTGGGCAAAATGTCAGACTTCTCCCATTTTAGTCTGACCTTTTTGTTTGCTTCACACAGGAATTAACAGCGGTGTAATTTTCTGTGCAGAAAACTACATCCAGTTGCTGTAACCTTCATATACTCGTTTGCTAGGCATATCCATCTGGAGTCACAGTTGACTGAATGTGTTCACTTTTAATAGAAAGGAATGGAAACAGAAATGCAAGTGTGGACAGGTTTTATCAAGTGTTACAGACATTAATAGTTACATAAGTAAATGACACTCAACTTAGTTCCAAAGTCCACTGGCTGACAGGTAACCCGAGACAAACCAAACGCAAGTCAAGCATTTCAGTAAGGTTTTATTTTGTCAGTAACCAAGCAAAGTAATTTTCTTTCTATGATCCAGGTAGTGTACAGAATGAACCCTTGTATCATGAATAATTATGAGAATAATGAATAATAAATATGTGCAATTACTATTTTAGCTGAGAACTAATTTGCTCCCAGTACAATCCAGAATCCCAGTTCTATACGAGTACACCACGCGTGTATCTTTCTCCCATATTTCACCAAAATCTTTGAGTACTGCACTGAGGAAAACCCCTCTTCTGTAGGGAGGTGTGGGAGAAGGCATCCACGTCAAAGTTGATGCAGTGTGTTGGGGTTATAGTTGTATTCTCTTTCTTCCAGTTAATAGCGCAAGGATGGTTGTGGGAACGTGGAAATAATGACAATATATTCACATTGTTTTCACTTACATTGTTTTTAGGCTTCCTTTTGGAAATTACCTTGATGGTGTAGAACAATGTCTTCTAAAGTGTGGGGAGGGAGAGCAGCTGGCTCGTGGAAAGCGGTGGCCAAGAAACAAGCCAGTTTCAGACACGTAAATAAAGGCAGTTTCGGGGATGTTTTTGGTAAATGACTAGCAGTGAAAATAGTGCGAGTACGGAGGCCTGTAGCTGTGATTTCCCGGAGGAACGTTGAGCAGATCATGCCGCTCTTCGGCTGCCTTCAGCTATCTGCAGACCGCGTCATCCGGTGCTGCCCCAGCGCTCCCACCAGCGGGATTTCCCCCGCCGCGGCTGACCTGCGGCAGGAACTTCATTGTACGAACTCTCCGATTCCCCGAGTACGATTTTGCCGTGAGGCATAAATTCTTTGCAAATTGATGCACTAGCCCCGTGACTAGCAGCCGGCCCGGAGAAGACTTTGGAGCCCTTACCGACGCCTCCTAAGCTGCTCAAACACACGAGCTGGTTTGGAGGCGTTCGCACACCCCAGGGGCGCGGGGCACCCAGGAGGCGCCGCTGGGGGCCGCGGCCCCT